GGTAGCAAAAGCACAGGCTCACCCCTGGGATCATGCGTTTTTGCGTTAAACTTGACGCAATCAGATAGTTAACAGTATGAATGTTTATTACTCTGCAGCTTAACACGTACAGCTCATGTGCCTGTGTTTTTTTTTCCCCAATTTTTTTTAAGACACTGTAATACCCTTAAGTTTTCCCAGTTTTTAAGACACTGTAACACAGTTACCCTACTAGTCCCAATGTCTTTTTTTGCATGCAGGGGAAAAGGACTGCCTTGGTGCGCGCCAGTATTTATCTATTTCATGAGAATGCAGTGGCGTGGCGGAGTACAAACTCCCCTTCGTTTAGTTCGGCACTACACTCCGATTGCCTCCCCGGGCCGGATTAAAACCAATCGCGGGCCGGATCTGGTCCGCGCCGGTTGCCCACCCGTGCGTTAAAGTATATGTGCAATAGATGCCTGCGCTTCATTCTGAGGCTGTAAAGTTAGCACTGTGACGAGAAGAATGAGTTAAAATACTTCGGAAAACTCGTTAACCTTGGTAACAATTATTAACTTTTTTCGGAATATGAGAGAATAATAAGACAAATTTTTAGATATTCTTTGTGGAACATTAAAAGGATATTTGTAAATCCTCGCGAGAAAAACTCTCGTAAAAATGGCCAATTCTTGCTACCGTTATATATATATGCAACTTCTGCTGCAGTGTTTATGGGTACTGAGTAAATGATGAAAAGAGCCTGATCAATTTTTAGATCACACTTAAGCAAGCTCGAGAAAAAGTATTTTGAAAAAAACAGTCACGAAACTGTCCACCTGCTTTATTACCAATGATTCCAATATGAATTGTATGCAGATCTGTGTTGACAACCCGAATCCGCCGACAGCACAACTCGTTCAACAAAAGCAAATCTTCAATGGACCAGTTGCTGCTGCAAAACGTTACATTTCAGAATTTTAAAAAATCGTTTGTTGATTTCGCAAGTTAATTCCGACGGAGCTCTTAATTCCGGTGAAAAAAAAGGCCCTTGTCCTTGTCAATGCCTCTGTCAATCGGCTGAGCTGCTAAATCCGATGTTCCGGGCTGATGAGATGGGCGCAAAAAGAAATTAAAGCTTACTCCCTCTCCTCGTAAGCAAAAATGCAAATGGCTTTCTGGAATCTCCGGAGTAGCAAAGCGATGGTTTGCACGATCGACTTGAAAACTGTAATGTCATAGAAAACATCTGCCGCCAAAATATAATGCAGTGTTTCGATGCCATCCAAGACACTATCGACGTCGGTGTGTGGTTGATTCCAATCCAGTCCCTGTAAAACTGGCATCGATGTCGAAAAAGCAAAACAAACACCGCAGATAGCGTCTTTCTAAATTGTCCTGTGTTGTCTCAAGCGGCACTTTTGACATGACAAGGAAGTTTGCCCCCTTTCTTTAAAAGTGATTATTGAAATCTGACGATCGCTAAATTCGCTAAACGGACTACTTGCACAGTTGGCTGCAGAATTTTTATGGAAAGAATAAACTGAACGTCAAAGTAAAGTACAGAGAGACATTGAATATATACAGCTACAGATACAGTTTCACCCCTCTTGGATACTGCCATCTCAACTATGTTCATCCAACTAGCCGTTTGCTTCAAGCGTGTAATAATTATCCAGCCCATCCATGCCTAGATGCTGTTGATAACGATAAACCCCTTCCGGTTCATTTTGAGTCTGTCACTGCAGATGCCTCTGTTTATCCATTGCTACCAAACTTTTGACTAACGTAATTTGTAGATAGTGTATCCGAATCTGCTGTAACTTTAAAAGACTTCTTGAACTACATTTTTAAATGCAGGATATAATAAGCTATGTGTTTACTGCTAGTCTCAAGTATGTTAATTCTAAAAAAAAAAACCAGAAACACGCTAATACAGCTCCCTTAAAATCTAAAAATACTGCAATTTAAGTTGC